TTTGACACTAAAGTGAAAGTGATTAGAAGTGATAATGACACATAATTCATGAATTCCAACTGTAAAGATTTGTTTGCTTCTCTTGGGATTGTGCATCAAAGTTCTTGTGCTTATCACCCTAACAGAATGGGGAGGTTAAAAAAAGCATAGACACATACTCAACACTGCCAGGGCATTAAGAATTCAAGCTTCCATTCCTATCTCTTATTGAGGTGATTGTGTCAAGGCAACAATTTACTTAATCAATAAACTTCCCACGACTGGTTTGCAAGAGAAGTCCCCCCGTGAATTATTGTATGGTGCTCCACCACATCTAGATCATCTAAGGGTGTTTGGTTGCCTTTGTTTCACATCTATCTTGCCTAGATCAGATAAATTTGCTCCTAGAGCAAAGAAGGGTGTCTTCATGGGCTATGCAGAAACTCAAAAGGGGTATAGAGTGTTTGATCTTGAGTTGCATTCCTTCATGTTAGTAGGGATGTCACCTTTGTAGAATATGAGTTCCCTTTCCAGTCTGATGCCTCTCCTAGGGCCTGCATGATCTTCTGGAACCCTTTTTTACTCGTTTATCACAAGTATCCACTCTTGCTCTATTTGACATAGGTCCTGGAATGTATGTTGAATATGCAGATGAGGTTTCAACTCCTCCAAGTACAGCTATTGATGTTTCTCCTCCTAGTGAAGTTCATATACCAGCTGTTGACATTACCTCATCCACACCTGTTATGGAAGTTGTTACTACAAGACCAAACAGGTCTGTTAGGCCTCCAATTTGACACCAAGACTATGTTGTGTCCAACCCTAAAAAACAAGCTCATTCAACTTGTCTTTATCCTATTGGGGACTATGTTGCCTACTCCAAGCTGAGTTGCTCTTATCAATCTTTTTTTACTGCTCTTTCTAACTCTTCTGAGCCAACCACCTTTAAGGAAGCTTCCAGTTATAAAGAGTGGGTTGCTGCTATGAGTGATGAGATTGCAGCCTTAGAGCAAAATAAAACCTGAAAAGTGGTGGACCTTCCCCTGGGAAGAAGGCTATTGGCTCTAAATGGGTCTACAAAATCAAGCTTCAAGCTAATGGTGAGGTTGAAAGGTACACATCTAGGCTTGTTGCAAAGGGTTATAATCAGCAGGAGGGTCTAGATTATAATGATACATTCTCCCAGTTGCCAAAATGGTTACAATAAGGATTGTGATTAGTGTAGTTGTATCACACTCTTGGCCTTTTTACCAAATGAATGTCCATAATGCCTTTCTACAGGGTGATCTTCTTGAGGACATCTACATGGACATGCCTCAAGGTTTTCATAGGCAGGGGGAGTATAAGGTGTATAAGCTTCTCAAGTCTCTTTATGGCCTCAAACAAGCCTCCAGGTAGTGGAATCTAAAGTTGACTGAGGTCCTAATATCTACTGGTTATTCACAGAGTCCCTATGACCACTCTTTTTTCAAAAAGAGGGATGGGCAAGACATAGTTGTTATCCTCATTTATGTGGATGATTTACTCCTGACAGGTAATATTAGCAAATTAATACAACAACTGAAGGAATCACTTCATAGTAAATTCAAGATGAAAGATCTTGGTGATCTCAAGTACTTTCTAGGAATTGAGATTATGAGGTCTAAAGCTGGAATTTTGCTCAACCAAAGGAAGTGTGCCCTTGAGCTGATTTCAGACACTGGTCTTAGTGGTGCTAAACCAGTGACCACACCTTTGGAAGCAAATACTAAGCTCACCACAGTGCAATATGATGAACTGACAGGACTCAATAATGATCCCTTATTCAAAGACATAACAGGCTATCCAAGACTAATTGGTAGATTGATAAACAACCTAAAATGTCACACTGGGAAGCTGCCCTGAGGTTGGTCAGATACATCAAAGGTTGTCCTGGTCAAGGACTATTGCTGAGCAGTAAACTAAGTTTGGAGTTGGAAGCTTTTTGTGATTCAGATCGGGCATCATGCCCCAACACCAGAAGGTCAGTAACTGGATACATGATCAAGTTAGGAGACTCTTATATCTTGGAAGTCAAAAAAGCAACATACATTGAGTAAAAACTCTGTTGAGGAAGAGTATAAAAGTATGGTTGGAGCTGTTGCAAAAATTATTTGGGTGCTAGGAGTATTAAAGGAGCTAAATGTGAATGTTACAACACCTGTGAAGTTGCATTGTGATAGCAGAGCAGCAATACAAATTGCCAGTAATTCTATCTTCCATGAAAGGATAAAGCATATTGAAATAGATTGCCACTTTGTGAGGGAAAGAATCAAGAGTGGATTGATACTGCCTACCTATGTTAACACCACACAACAACCTGCTGATCTTCTTACAAAAGGTTTAGGTGCAGCTTCTCATCATATGTTACTATCCAAGCCTATTCAGACTAAAGCTTGAGGGGGAGTATTGAATAACAATAGTTAATAGGTGTGTGGTTAGTTAAAGTTAGTTGTTAAAAGTTTGTTATAACTGTTTACAGTGATAAGTGAGTTAGTTAGGATTCACTAATCACACATTCTAGAATGATCCATCTATAAAAGGAGGCATGACTTCTTCATTATAAATTGAATTCTCATAATGAAATAATATTCATTCTCTTCTCTATTCTCTTCCATGGCAGAATAACTTCCATGGATTTCATCATCAAATCATAAGTTGACAGTATATGTTCAGTAATATGAACTTGTGTCTTATAATGCATAACCTATTTCCAAACAATTTTCTTGGGGACACCAAACATGAAACATGCCTATCTAATTGAGTTGGCTGAAATACTTGGGGGAGGAAAATAACAAAATAAATATTCTATCCATTTAGCAATTCTTGTTCACTATTGACTTTGCACACTTCTTAATAAACTATAAATAGAAATGTAATTTTTTTATATCATTCTTTAAATATAATAAATACAATGTCTTAGAAAATGTAATAGAGAAATAATTAATTATAATTAACGACAAAGGTAAATTAGAAACTAAGTGTGAAATTGTCCATTGATTTCATAAAGTGAACAAATATTGTAAGACATCCCAAAATAGTATAGTGAGCACTATTGTTGAATGGAAGAAGTATAACATTCAAACCCTTCATCTCATAGAGAAATGCATCCAATGCATCATCAGATACTTTGAATTTAGATGCACGCATTTTTATTTAAATATGTAAGTTCAGATTTAGCCACTATCTATGCATCTGAAGATAATAGATAAATAATCAGAATAGGAGTACAATGAAGTGGACCAATGTAACTTCTTATGTGAATATTAAAATTAAAAGTTGAGGTAAAATAATATAATGGAGAAGGGGACCAATGTAACTTTTTATCTGAATATTAAAAAGTGAGGAAAAATTAGGATATAATTTATCTAAGAAAAAATGTATGTTATCAAGAAGTTAGTTCATTGAAAGTAGAAATTACTTGCAAAGATATTCGAAAACTAATAAATTTCTTTTGAAGATATTCATATTGTTTATATAATTATAACCCTATATCTTTAAATGTGTTATACATAACTTAACAAAATTCTGTATTTTGTTGGGTTAATTAATTTTTCCCCTAAATTAAGTGTAAATGATGTCGATTATTATATTAATATAATAAAGTTATTTGATATAAAAAGAAAGAAAAATCGGTAAATATATTTTTTAACTTTGTGATTTAGAATATATATATATGTTTAAAAAATGATGCATCTATAACTCTCTATGTCTAACAAATAGTGTATATTTTGTTGATAAAATATCTATATTATCTTAAAAAGTATAGGAATAATATTTGAAATTATTTATTACATATTATTACCTTAATAACTTAGCTTATTAATACTCCCTTCGTCCCATTTTATATGTCACATTTTTACTTTGCACTTGCATTAAGAAATGATGTAACTTTACTCTTCTACCCTTATTTAATGTTTTCTTAAGTCAACTTTATTAATAAATGACAAGATTAATTAACTATTCTACCAAGGGTATAATAGGCAAAATATGGTAATTTATACATAAATTTTATAAAATAACAAGTATTGTGGTCCAGCTATTTATAGAAAGGGATGACATATAAAATGGGACGGAAGGAGTATTATATTAAGAATTTTAATCTTGTAGCCAACCGTTTGTTTTCTTATTCTGGCAGCTGTTAATTGCCTTTATGGCATTAATCAACTACTATTGATTTGGGTGTTACAAAAGGTCCATTTGAATATTTGGTAATAATATATAGGCTTTATGGCAATTATTTGGTCTTAATGTGCATTATATGCACAGCTGATGGTATGCTTTTTACCATATACCTATATATCTATATATAGTACTTTTGTGTGTTAAAAGGAGGAGAACGAGATATTACATTGAAATAACTTTTCTTCCTTATTTATTTGCTGAGTTTTCTTAAGTAAAATATATTCTTTATTAGATTTTGGTTCCCAGTTTTAGTACTAGAAGAGCTTGTTGAATCCTGGGGATACACCTTAACCGGTGAAATATCCTTAAGGACAGTGTCATAGACATGTCTCAAGCTACCTGATTTCCGTGATTTTCAATAGTTTTCCAACAATCTTAAGGATATTTGAACCATAAACGATTCACCTGCTACTGATAATACCACCATTGCTACTCAAACATCTCATGGTGTTTTCCGTATTGTGCCTTCGCACAACTTTTCCAAATACTTCTCTGATGTTTCAAAAGTGGAAGTTTTTGGTGGACAGAATTTTAAGAGATGGCATGAACGAATTTTCTCTTCTCTTGACATGTATGGAGTGACGTCTGCGCTAATAGAATTGAAACCGGATGAATTTGCTTCTGAGCAGCTAAATCAGTGGATTTATGCAAATAAGGTATGTAAGCACACAATATTAAGTACTCTTTCTAATGAATTGTTCGATGTGTATTGTTCTAATAAGGAAGCAAAGGAGATTTGAGAATCGCTACTTGCTAAATATACTACTGAAGATGCTACCAAACAAAAGTTTGTTATTGGTAATTTTTACAAATGAGAGATGACTGAGGAGAAAGAAGTGAAGGTACAAATCAACGAGTTTCACAAACTAGTTGAAGATCTTAAGTCGGAGAAAATCATTTTACCGGAGCAGTTCGTGGCTTATATATTGATTGAAAAGCTACTAGAATCTTGGAATGACTACAAACAAAATTTGAAGCACAAACAAAAGCTATTATCTCTTGAAGATTTGGTGAAACACATCATCATTGAGGATACCAACCGAAAGCAATCATATTTTGCCAAAGCAAAAGAAATCGCTACAAAAGCCAATTTTGTGAAGACATTAAGTCTCGCAATAAATATAACAGTATGAAAAAGAACTTGATTATAAACTCAGGGTCAACAATCAAAATTTTAAGAAAAAAGGTAATTGTTTTGTGTGTGGCAAACCAGGCGACCATGCAGTTCAATGTAGAAACAGAGCAGGGAAAAATGACAATCCTGGTAAGCCAAGAGTAAATCTGGCTGAAGCAGATGATATCATAGTGGCGGTCATTTCTCAAGCTAACCTTGTGGCCAATGTGAGTGACTGGGTGATAGATTCAGGTGCTACTAGGCATATTTGTGCAAATAAAACAGATTTTGTGTTTTACACCTAAGTCAATGAAGGAGAAGAAGTTGTGTATCTTGGTGATTCTTCAACCACTCAAGTCCTTGGAAAAGGAAAAGTTCTTCTCAAACTCACATCTGAAAAAACCTTGGCATTGACTGAAGTGCTGCATGTTCCTAGTATCCGAACCAATCTGGTTTTCGTTGGATTATTAGGAAAGGTAGGGGTGAAAGTTGCATTTAAATCTGGTAAGGTAGTGATAACCAAGAATAATGTGTTTGTTGGTAAAAGATATTGTAATCATGGCTTATTTGTTCTCAATGTTTCTCAAGTCATGAGTGAAGATGCTAGTACTTAATTATTTACTTTTGACATGCTAAATTGGAACCATTTGAATAAATAAAAAAGGTTTATGCTTTGATGTTTTGATAACAAAATTCTCTCATATGTTAATGGTTAGTTTTCAAAATGCTGAGGATTGGAGGAAAAGAAAGAGACATCAATGTGTTGGTGGTTTTAATTATGAAATTATTTTCTAAAATTAGTTTTGGGTTATAAAAATAGCACGTAAAGAAATAAATATCTTCTTAAGTAATGAAGAGACTTATCAATTGGGTGTTATTGATTTCCTTTTAGTAAGATGTTAAATGAAAATAAAATAAAATAAGAAAGTATGTTGTTCTTTTGATGATCACTTTGATTCTATAATTTATTTTTTCTTGTGATCACTAGAATAAAGATAATATTTTGAATGATGATATATAATGTTTGAGTGAAGTTATTTTTTATAGCTAATCATTTATATGATGAAATGCTTATTTGAAAATTGGTTGAACTTGTTATATAGAAATATTATTTTCTAAGTTGAACTTTTTGAAATATGGGGGTAACGTACTTTATGTGGTCTTGTTATTTAAAATGCAATATGTGTTTATTTATTGTGTTGATGATTTAAAAATCAGGTAAATATAATGAAGTTAGCTGATAATGATGTTAAGTGGTTAAGTAACCTCCATATGGTGATTACATAAGTTTGAGACAAAGAGTAATAGAACATTGTTAAGAGATGGAATTAAATCCATGAATCGTGTGAAGTCATAAGTGAATTTGGCCAATTCTCTGACTTAAAATTTGAGGGAAAAAAAATTAATAAATGAAGCTTCAACGAGAATGGGACTATTGCCAAGTTGTATATCAAACATGACGGTAACCCAACCTATGTGATTGGAGATCCCATGAATTAGGTTCATATGGGTAATAACAAGTCATCATTTGATCTTGTGCACTATAAATTTTTGTCCCATCTGTGATCTATTATGGTGTGCATGTAGTGCAAATCTGCAAGGAAAGTGAGGTTGAGTTGTGAACTCTTAATCAATAACCATATCCTTTATAGGTGGTGTATTGCTCTACAAAATACACTTGATGGGTGGACCTATATGAGTGTGGAGTGGTGCCGCTTCTATGAAATTGTAACGGATTTCTAAAGCATTCATGAATACCAGGACACGCGCATGGCCTCTTAGCGCAAAATCGTGATAACGACAAAGATTGTGCAAGTATAATGAGATAGAATAAGACTCTAAGCTTACAACAGATTTTTTGGTTCATAGAAGTTTTAAACTTTACCATTTGTTCCGTAAGATTAATCTTATTTATCTAGGTCTGGTTGATAGTCTTCGAGACACCAGATTCGATGCATTATTCTTTCTTTTGAAAATTCAGCAATAATTATCTTTTATATTTTTTTTAATTATTATATTATTTCTTAATATTCTTTTTAAGATATATGGAGGATTGTTGATAAAATATCTATATTATCTTAAAAAGTATAAGAATAATATTTGAAATTATTTATTACATATTATTACCTTAATAACTTAGCTTATTAATATTATATTAGGGGTCGTTTGGTTGGAAACAAGTTATCCCAGGATAAGTTATCGTGGGGTTAACTATCCTGGGATAACTTATCCCACCATGTATATGGGATAACTTATCCCATCACTATGATATAAATGGTGGGATAAGTTATCCCAAACATGACAACCAAACAACATAATCTTTTTTTTATTCCATCACTATTCACTATTATTTTTAATCTCTCACACCAAACGAGCCCTAAGGTTTTTAATCTTGTAGCCAACCGTTTGTTTTCTTATTATGGCAGTTGTAAATTGCCTTTATGGTATTAATCATCTACTATTGATTTGGGTGTTACAAAAGGTCCATTGGAATATTTGGTAATAATATATAGCCTTTATGGCAATTATTTGGTCTTAATGTGCATTATATGCACGGCTGATGGTATGCTTTTTACCATACTCCTATATATCTATATAATATATATATATAGTACTTTTGTGTGTTAAAAGGAGGAGAACGAGATATTACATTAAAATAACTTTTCTTCCTTATTTATTTGTTGGATTTTCTTAAGTAAAATATATTCTTTATTAGATTCTGGCTTCTAGTTTTAGTACTAGAAGAACTTGTTGAATTCTGGAGGATACACCTTAACTGGTGAAATATCCTTAAGAACAGTGCCATAGGCACGCCTCAAGCTACGTGATTTTCGTGATTTTCAATAGTTTTCTAACATATTTATCCTCGTTAGTATACATATATTTATTAAAAATAATTTTAACTCTAATTTTTAATTTCAAATTTGTCTTGTGTCCTTAAAAAATTACCTCACCATTTCATTTACCCCTCCAAATGTGAGCCAAAAGAAAAAAAGTAATTCGTCTCTCAGTCATAAAATGTCTGGATCGAATTTGAACTAAAAAGGATTCAAACTTTTTTTAATCGGGTTAAATCTGGATCAGGAATAGAGGGGTAACGAAGATGGATGAAGGAATTTTTTAAAACCACCTGATATTTTAAAAAATTTAAAATTATTTTGGATTTAAAAAAAAAAATCAATCTATTAACGAAATCTATACATTATTTGTTAGGCAATAGTGGTATATATTAATCATTCATTGAGAATATATATTGTTATTTATTAGATGATGAAAATATATATGCACAAATTTTTAATTAAAAAAGAAAAAAAGTCTGAAATATATATAAATTTTGATCGAAATTGTTATAACAATTTCAAACTTTGGACAGAACATATTATCTCTATACTATTTAATAGTTTACTTTAAAATAAACTATTAAATAATACAGGATATAGATCTAACTCAGAATTTGAGACTATTACAATAATTTTGATCAAAATTCAGATATATTTCATATCTTTTTCCCAATTAAAAACTAATAGTTATCCCTTCGGGAAAGGGAAAACAGAAGCAGTGTAACCTTTATCTTTTTTATATTATAACCGACTTTACCGGTAAAAGCATGGGATGAAAGAATCCAAGAAACTTTCACATGTATTTCCCTTATTGGGTACTCAAACACTGAGCACAAAATACGTGGAGGATTTTCCCATATAAAAATGACATATGTCCATCTTTATCACCACTATTTCAATAATCACCATTTTTAACAAACTCTGAAAAAAAAAAGTGAGAAAAATGGAAGATGGTATTAGTGATATTGCAAATTTTGGATTTTCCAACTCTGGAGGAGATCAAGAATTGAAAGAAGAAAGTCAAGAAAATGTTGGAGAAATGAGTAAAGGTGACAAAGAAGGTGGGGTTATTAATAATTTAATTTCCAATTTGATGAGTCCAAGAGCAGGGGAACCTAAAAACAAAGAAAGAAATGATCTTTTTGAGGCTTATGATAAGGAGAAAAGTAGTGATGAGAGTAATGGAGGTGGAGGGATAATTAACAATTTGATCTCCAACATTTTTCATCCAACTGAAAATTCTGTGGAGAATCAAGAAGTACAAAAAGGTGAGATGAAGAAAACAGAGGAAGAAAGTGGGAGTGTTTTGGATAATATTATGTCTCACTTGCCAACCCCTCTTGCAGGTACTTCGATATCCTTATTTTAAGTGTTTTTTAATTTTCTCATGTTTTCGTAATCTTGATTTTTAAGTGTTTGTATATGTGATTTTGATCAGATGATGCAGTTCCAGCTACAGATGAGGCTTCAATCCTCATTCATTCCATTGTTCATGACTAGTGTAGAAGTTGATTAATCAAGTGGGAGTAATCAATCCTCATTCACTCCAGACAGGTGTGTTTTGGTTTGAAGACAAGTTATGCTGATTAGTTTTTTCTTATTGATTTGTTGTATTAATTTGGATATTTGATTTTGATTACTCATGTGGAGCTGATTCAATCTGACCCATTACCTCGAGTTCTAAGAGGAACAGTATATTTAATTTGTGGAATCAGAATTTTATTTCCCAATGAAATAGAATTGGATATCAACATTTTTTTGCTGCTGTTAACAGATACACATTGTTATTCCTGTTACGAATATCTAAACGATATTATCAAGAGAAAGATTTTTTAATGTTTTATTGAAATGAATACACTGTTATGCCTCCATAAATGTACTGAAAATTGATTTCGGTGAATTACTATGTTCTTTTAAAAACCTTGATAACAAATATCAAAAGGATATAGTAATTCACTGCAATTAAAATTTTAAAACTTTCAGCTACTATCTCTTTTAATATCTTCATATTGGTATCAAATTGATTCTTTCTCTTGAACATGATGAATTTTAATACAGCTATTACTTTACACTTGAACTGTATCAAATAAAACCAAATATATATACACATTAAAATTTCACTATTATAACAAAATATTTTTTCTTGTCTTAAGTAGATAACTTGTAAGATTCCAAATATTGACATGCACAAGTTGAAAAATACTACATCAAACTTGTTATTATTAATATGGAACTTTGGTCTACTCTGCTTAGGGGGAAATTATTGTCCATTTTATGGTGCATGTGAACTCATGATTTTTCTATAAAATTAGATATTTTATGTATATATACTTTAGAATTTGATTCAATATTATCTGTTAATACCTATGATCTAGTAAAGTTAAATTGTATACTTGGTTAAACACAGAGTTATTTAAGTACTCAAAAAAATAGAGATCATTTTCTACTTATTACTTTCTTCAAAAAAAAAAATTCTTTCTTTTTAATGGTGCATTAATATTTTAGAAATTCTAAATCGGGCTCTAACTCAATTTGGCTAATAAACATACTTCACAATATTGTTGCATTTATGCATCCATCTTATCCTTTGTGTTGTAGTGCACTTATTAATGGGTGTCCTAGTCTCATATTTAGGGGTGTTTAAATAAGCTCAAATATAGGTAATTCGCCTAATCCATTTATAATTTTATGAGTGGGCTCAAGAAAATTTAAACTGGGTTCAATCTCAACCTCAAGCTTTAACATATTTTAAAAGTAGGGAAACTTTTACAAATAGCCACTAAAATAATTTTAATTAGGCTCAATAGTTATAATTTGTTAATTACGATTGGTAGCTACATGTTAGAGGGAGGAGAGAGGTGAGTGAGAGAGCACAAAGAGTGGAGAAAGACGAGTTGTATATATATATATATATATGTCGAATTGTATATGTATATTTGACAAATAATTATATATATGTAACTGGTATACATATATATTTATATATCTGGCGAGCGAAATTGGGAGAGGGATGAGAGAGGTGAGCGAGAGAGGGAAGAGGGTGGAGATATGTGATTGCATTTGTATATCTGTCATATAATTGTATATGTATATATATAATTTGTATTTGTATATGTATAAGCGAGGTGAGAGGCGAGGAGAGAGGAAGAGAGGAAGAGAGGAGAGAGGCGCACGTAATTACAACTAAAATTAAGCTACGAGCCGTAATTAATTCAGACTATAGCTATGTTAGCTAATTAACAAGTATATGTTTGTTTATCCGCGTAATTTTCCCTTAAAAAATTAAATCTTCAATTGAGCCCAATGTAATCTCGAATTTCAACCGATTATAGGACTCTTTAATTTGGATTAGTGCAATGTATCTTCTCATATTGAAGGTATGAATTACTATCTATTTTATATCTTCTAGGATTTATCTATCCATTTTAAACTTATTTTTGTTATTTTCTTGAGTTGAAATTCAAATAATGCTTATAAAAGTTAAATAATAATATGTTCAAAATATTGAGATTAAGCGGGTCAAATTACGCGGGTAATGACTCAACCTGATATTTATCCCATTTGAGCCCAAAATAAACTTCAGCGAGTCATAACCCAACCCAATTGTTATTTCAATCATTTTAATATTTCCAATTCAACCCAATCCGTCCATTTGACACCCCCTACTGGTATTATATGATGTGTTTTCCACACGTCAAATTGCGATGAGACATGGCCAATATTGCCACACGTCACAATAATGATATTTTTGAGTCAAAAAATTGAAGTTGGGGTGATTTGTGTTGGGGATTCAATAAATTCTGATTATGTTATAATATTAGCACAACAATTGAAATTGTTGTCAACTGGTGTCACATTTGCAATGAGAGGCATTAGGTTAGGTCTCCGTGAAAGAGAACAAAAAATCACAAAATTAAAGAAAAAGTTAATCAATGTCGACTTTTTACAATTGTGAGAGTCCTAATCACAAAACCGAAGTTTATTTTTCACATTTGCAAGGGTCATTTAGTATTTACGGTCTCACAATTGCAATTGAGACAACTTATATAAATATATTGAGATTTAGGAAATTATATAGCTATTTTTGACAAATTTGAGGAGAAGAGTTCTTGGCCTTGAATCAGAATTGTTGATGTTTCATCCAAATATTTCAGAGATGAATTGATCTCCACATGTACTGAGATTATACTACAATGTTGGTAGGATTTAGACCATGAATTCATGTGATCCTAAAGACCTAAATTAGGGTTTCAGACCTTAACCTAAAATTAATAAATTACTGATTTAACTAATTTAATATTTTCAAAACTCAATTTTGATTATTACATTCGACTGTATAAGATATATAAAGCAAAATCGATAAGTTGTGTACCTTGTATGTATTTGCAGCGGAAGTCATTGATTTTGCTACTTTAGCAGGATTGCTCCAAAGTCCCTCTTTGAATCACTGGAAAATAAAGTTTGATTCACAAACTAAATGTATATTTGTGTTTCACACCTTTGTTGATCTTCATACAGAAAAAGTTTTAAGTTTTTTTTTTTTTGGTTTTTATTTTCTTTTTGTTGTTCACCATTACTAAAAACCGCTAAAAACGACAAAAATAAAAAACAATGAACGGTGTCGCTAAAAAAACGACGCCATTTGAGACGCTGTCCGTCATTTTGATTATTTATTTTTCAAAAAGCGACGGACAATGATTCTATGTTCGTCGCTTTTTTTTGCTGGATTTTTGCGCCATATATATGTAATTAATAATTATTTATTTAATATACATAGAGATGTCGTCCGTCACTTTTTATTAGAAATAATTATTTTTTAATTAATAAATAGTCATGCCGTACATTGTTTTAAATTTATTTTAATTTATCAATCATTTTTTACAATAGCAGTGGACGACATGTCTTAGTCCGTTGTTTTTTGGTCCTAATATTTTATAAGGTGTGGATATCTTTCGTGCATATCAACCTCAACCTCTCAAGTGGACTCTTCAACCGATCGATTCTTCCACTGGACCTTCACACATGCAATCTCTTTTGATCTTAACTTACGAACCTGTTACATCCCGAAAATTTATAAGTTAAGACTCGAACTATTCTTCATTTATGTATAAGGTTGTGCCGAGTGATTCTTAATTGTTCTTAGGTGCTAAGGTCAATTCTTTAGTGTGAGAATGATTTGGGATATAAATTAAGGTCACTAGAATCTCCTAGCACAAAGCTGAGTTGAAAGCTTTCTTACCGATTGAGTTTCAATATAAGATTTTACTTGGGTCAATTTCAAACAACCATATCTCCCAGCTCATAAGGAATTAGGTGGTCCATGACCTATCAAATTAAAGCTCTACATGCTCTTTACAATGCCACCAACTTTGCCTCATTTCACGTTCGGGGAAAAGTTATGCCTATTTTAGTGAAACCCTGTCAGACAGTCGATGTTCTACGACTGGACCTACGGACGGTGGAAATTTCCATGATTGGTAGACCATTCCGTGAAGGCTTGCTGCACTTTTTTTCCACAACTTTCTGCACACGTTCTAGAGTTATTTTGGTCCTTTCCCAAGTTTTTAAACCCTATTCTAAGTCATTTTTGAGTGTTTTAACTGAATATATCATTCAACTGACTAGTTTTTCTCTCAAAATAATCAATTTAAACATTCAAGTATTTAGAAATTCTCTTAAAACTCACCCAGGGTTTCTCTTCTCCAACAAGAACCCCAAAACCTTCAAGTAAAAAATTCAAGATACTAAGAGAATTCTTCCACCCTAGATTTTCCCATGTTCTTCCACTCTAAGAACTTTATAAAAGAGTTTCTTTATCAAGAGCAAGCACCTAGATTCCAATATCAAATGTTTCCTCCAAAAAGCTAATGTTCTTCATGAAGCTCAAGATAATCAGGTATGTAAGACTATCATAGTGATGGACTGAGTTCATCTGCACGCCCTACATCTACTTTCTATCAGTAAAGGATAATCTAGGATTACATCCTTGATTTTGAAAATTCTTGAGATAAGTTTGATTGTTGAGTTCTGAATTCTAATCTCAATTATTGAGTTGGTATATATCTTGTATTGAGATTCTTGAGTTGATTGTTCATGTCCATTTTCAGCATGAGCCCTAGTATTTGAACATTTATTGAGTTATTATTGAGAATCTAATTTTTAACCGAACAATTGTCTTAAGCTCATAGTGATGGTAATTGGTTAGAGAATCTACAAAATAAGAGTATAGAGTATTTTATTGTATTTTTATATACATCCTTGAGTTAAAATCTTTTATTTATGAAGCTTTAAATATTGTCATCTCTTGTTATTGTTTTGTATTGAGTTCAGTTGAGGTAAGTATTCTTTCTGCCTTATCAATTCAGTTATTTATCCATTCAACTATATTACATACTCGTACATTCAATGTACTGATGTCATTTGACCTACATCTTTATGATGCAGTTAGGTGTTCAAGATCATCAACAAGTGTTTCGTTGAGATCACTTTGCACTTCAAAGAGCTTGGGTGAGCCTCCTGGCATTCTAGAGGACTACACATTTATTTTCTAGTCAGTGTTCTTGAGAAGTCGTGGGCTTGTCCCGACATCCATCTTGAATAATAGAGGGTTCATAGATAGATAGCGTTGATGAGTCTCTGCGTATTTACTTTTCCTTGAGATGTTTTTGCAAACTATTTGTAACACCCCGAAATTTTTTTAAGCTAAGACTCAGACATTCTTCGTTGTGAGTAAGATTTTACGGAGGAATTTAAATT